GGATTTTGTTTTTCTTTGAAGGTGTTTCACTTCTCATCCAAGGAGCTCCTTCAGTTCTTGGATGAGAAAAGGAGCATCTTCAAAGAAAAACAAGAATGTCCAGTTGCCTCTTGAAAAACCACCATTACCTGGATGACTGAGAACCTCCATAGACATGTTGGTGGGAAGTTTCAGACTTAAAATAGCTTCTGCTATCTCTACTGCATCAGTCTCTACAATACATCTCATTTAATAATATTGTTGTTTTTTTAAATTTTTTAAATTTATTTATTTTGTCAAGCATGTATTAGATAACAGATACAAATATAAACATGATTATGAATACAGGATAAGGATATGAATAAAAGGGAACATTAGAACAGGGATGGTAGGTATGCTGGTGTGCTTATGCATGCCCCTTAAAGACCTCTTAGGAATGGGGTGAGATCAACAATAGACAGTCTAAGGTTAAAGTTTTGGGGGTTTGGGGATGTAACCACAGAGTCAGGAGGACATTGTAGCAGAAAATTTTATGTACTATGCTTAGGTCAGACCGAAGACGGCATACTTCTAAGTTGTCTAAGCCCAAAATTTCAAGTCTGGTGGTATAAGGTATTCTGTTGTGAACAGAGGAATGGAGGACTCTTCTTGTGAAATACCTCTGGACTCGCTCAGTTGTACCATGTTTTCCCAAAAATAAGACCCTGCTCAAAAAAATAAAGTAGTTTTGTGTTCCCTTTAGTTGTTTGAGCAATGTATAAACTACTGTATGTAAAGAACAAAGTATTTAATAAGGCTATTTCATTCATTCAGATTTCGGATGTCTTCTGCTTGTGTTCCCTTTATTTTTTTGAGCAGTATATATTTTTTAATCCCGAAATAAGTGCTTGGCCTTATTTTCAGGGAGGTCTTATTATTTTGGGGTGCATGGAGGAAACCAGAGGAAATGGCGGGGACCGACTGCACATGCATTTAAATATTTTCGGGGAGGGCTTATTTTCAGGGGAGGGCTTATTTTAGTACATGCGCTCAAAAGCCCAATTGGGCATATTATCAGGGGATATCTTATTTTAGGGGAAACAGGGTATTAATGTCCGATATGCAGTCCGGGTTCCAAGCAGATGAGCTGTGTTCAAGAATTGGTCTAGCAAAGGTTTTGTATGCCCTAATTTGCAGTACAATATTACCAGAGAATAAAGAATAGAATAAAGAATGAAATTTTATTATTATGGTCATTGACCAGCAATAGACATACAATAAATTAAAAATAATTTGAACATTAATCGTAAATAAAAACATCTCTGTTATGAAAATACCTGATTTTACAATACAGTACAATATTACCAGAGAAGAAGCTTCACAAGATTAGGTTAACAACTCTTAAGTCCCTTTTTGGCAATGTTGTTACAGTGGGCTCTGGCACTTAGATCATTTGAGATGAGTACTCCAAGGTTTTTGTCCCACTACAACTTTATCTGTTTTATTTTTGTAGCTTCTCCTTCATCTGGGTGCATCGGAGGCTGACAATTCAGCAAACATTTGCAATTACAGCTACTGGATATGTTTTAATTGCTTTCGTTGATTTGCTACCAATTTTAGTTGATTAGAAGGCTGTTTAAATTAGCAATGGTAAAGTTTAATTACCTGGAAAAGAAGTCGAACTTTTTTTTTTTTTTTACTCACCAAAGGCTCTGTTTTTGTTTTTGTTTTTTGTTTTTTTTGCTCAAGGATGATATAGCAGTGAGAAAAGCATTTTTTTTTGTTTTTTTGGTAAAACAGAAACAAATATCAGTTATGTTTCAAGTGTTTTTGGAAGAAAATCTTAGATGATTTAAAAAACAACAACAACTATGTAGTGAATTTGGAGAGAGGTAAATTGGTTGAACCCAGGGGTGGTATTCTACCGGCTTAGACCGGTTTGGGTGAACCGGTAGCTCCAACGATTAGCTGGGAGCAAACCGGTTCACCCCGTCAATCAGATGGGCCCACTTGCTCGCCCGTGCTATTTTCCTACCTTTATCTTCTCAGCTGATTCATGTGGTAGAGCAGTTTGCCACACTAATCAGCTGTGTTACTCCTCCGAAGTAACACGCGAAGTGCGCTTACACATGCAAATCACACAATCACCAAACCGGGAGGATCCCATCACTGGTTGAATCCAATTACTTGTCTAAGAGGTGGAGAACTCTGAGACTCTAAAAAGATGCTAAAATATACAAAGAATGGTTGCAGGAACTGATTATATCTAGTTTAATGAAAAGAAGGACCAGGGGTGACATGATAGCAGTGTGCCAGTATTTGAGAGGCTGCTACAAAGAAGAGATGGGGTCAATTTATTCTCCAAAGCATTTGAAGGCAGGATAAGAAGCAACTAATGGAAACTAATCAAGGAGAGAAAGCAATCTAGAACTAAGAAGAAACTTCCTAACAGTGAGGACAATTAATCAGTGGAATGGCTTGCCTTCAGAAGTTGTGGGTGCTCCACCGCTGAAGGTTTTTAAGAAGAGATTGGACTACCCTTTGTCTGAAATGATAATAGACTTTCCTCCTTGAGCAGGGGGTTGGACTAGAAGATCTCCAAGGTCCCTTCCAGGGGTGGGCTTCAAAAGTTTTAGTAAGGGGTTCTCTGCCCGGTTGCTGGGTAGGCATGGCCATGGTGGGCATGGCCTAGTCGGCCTCCTGCATCATGGCAGGGGGAGGTGTTTTTGCCCCCCCCCCAGGGCTTCAGAGGCTTTCCTGGAGCATCTGGGAGGACGAAAATGGCCTCCCCAGGCTCGGGGGGCCCTCTGGAGGCCTGAAATGGCCTGTTTTTTGCCCTCCCTGAGACTCCATGTGTGCCCTGCGCTTACCTGCATCCAAAATGGGCCACATGGGGACTCCTGGGAGGGGAGGGGGGAGGGGTGGGCAGGATCAGCCAGGAGTGGGATTTGGGGGTTCTCCGAACTGCACAGAATCTTAGCTAGAGGTTCTCCTGAACCCCTGCAAACCAAGGGTGAAATCTACTTACTTTCCTTACCAGTTCGGAAGTGTACACACGTGCGTCACATGCACTCTTAGACCCTCTGTGCATGAACAAAACCTTCGGTGCATGCGCAGAGGGTAAAAGTAATGACACCCGGGTGGGAAGTAATGACAGCCGGGTGGGTGGGCGGAGCCTCGTGCCGCCATCGCTACTGGTTCTCTGAACCACCTGCCACAATCGCTACCAGATCGCCCGATCCAGTCCGAACCGGGAGCATTTCACCCCTGCTGCGAACCCCTAGCAGCCCACCCCTGGTCCCTTCCAATTCTGTTATTCTGTTAACTCAGTCTCCAGTGTGTTCAAATAATACTGCAGTGTTATTGGAAGGAATTGTGGCCAAGGTTGTAGGCTTGATCTAGCATCTTCAGATGTAAATGCTATTACGTAAATATTTATAGCAGGGAAACCTATTACTTCAGTCACACATGAACAGGCACAACAGGAAAGATCACCCTTAAATCCTTCATGATCGAGGTATCTCTCTCCCACCTACTTCTCTGTCTCACTTCCTTCAGCAAAGAAACCTGCATATCACTAGCAAGACTGCAATTTTGGTATGATAGGCCATTTTGAAGAAAACCATTTAGAACAGATTGTGGTTGATGATAGGAGCGAGGACTTATGAATATATATCTATCCTAGTGGTTTCTCTGGTAAGTGTGTGTGTGTGTGTGTGTGTGTGTGTGTGTAAAGGTTCCCCTGGCACATATGTGCTAGTTGTTCCTGGCTCTAGGGGGCGGTGCTCAACTCCGTTTCAAAGCCGAAGAGCCAGAACTGTCCGAAGACGTCTCCGTGGTCATGTGGCCAGCATGACTAAATGCCAAAGGCGCATGGAACGCTGTTACCTTCCCACCAAAGGTGGTCCCTGTTTTTCTACTTGCATTTTTTATGTGCTTTCGAACTACTAGGTTGGTGGAAGCTGGGACAAGTAACGGGAGCTCACCCCGTAACGCGGCGCTAGGGATTCAAACCGCTGAACTGCTGACCTTTCGATCGACAAGCTCAGCGTCTTAGCCACTGAGCCACTGCGTCCCTTATACATACATACGTGTGTGTGTGTGCGTGTGTGTTGAAATCTGAACTGGTTTACTACCGGTTTGCTGGCTGCGCATGTGCGCCGTGCACCAAATACGTGCTGCGCACACGCACATATGTGCAGAGCACACCAAATGCAAGCTGCACACATGCACGCACAGTGCGCACCAAAAAGAGGCTTGGGAAGGTAAGTAGAGCAGCGCAGGGGGGGTGATCAGCTGTGGGAACCTTTTTAAAAACTTTTTAAAAGCATTTTTTACTACCGGCTCAGGCGAATAGGTTGTAAAAAATGCTTTAAAAAAGTTTTAAAAAAGGTTCCGTCGATTACGTGGTACAGCCGTGATCGTTGGAGCCTTTTAAAAACTTTTTTTAAAGTATTTTTTTACTATCTATTCGCTGGAACCGGTAGTAAAAAAAATGCTTTTAAAAGGTTTTAAAAAAGGCTCTGACAATCACACCTGTGCCGTGTGATCATTGGAATCTTTTTCTTACCTTTTAAAAGCATTTTTTTTACTATCAACTCGGGCGAATAGGTAGTAAAAAAATGCTTTAAAAAAAGTTTTTAAAAGGCTCCGGCCTCCTAGTCGTTTTATAGCTTTTCAATATGGTCAGATGACCAAATACACAAACTTTCTTGACTTGAATTTAAATCCATTATCAGGCTTTTTTTGTGTGTGTTTGTGCCGGAGTTCACATTATAAGCCTCACCCTGGATGTCCCTTGCAATATTGCTGAATTTCAAAATGAGAAAACAACTGTGTGGAACTTCAAGCTTTGTGAGATATCATCATCATCACTGTCATCATAATTACAATTTGTATTAATATTATTTATCTACTTATTTGCTTAGGTGCACATGTGATACACGTGCTAGAAGTGGAATTTACACCCGCCACCATAACAAATCAAAATCCCTGAAAATGTAAAACTCCCCCACACAAAAGATGAGTAATAGACAACTTACTTTACATTTCTTTAGAGTAGCATCATACAATGGTTCTGCCATCCAGACCTTTCCAGCAGGTGGAATTGGAGCTATTTCACTCTGTTCTTTTTGACATCAATTTGGTCACCGTCTCCTTTAAAACAAAGGGAGTCACAAATTAGCAAAGTTTAGGCAGGAAAAACCCAAGATACAAGTACAGATTAGGTGAGACCTGGCTCAGAAACAGTGACTGTGAGAGGAACCTTGGAGTCCTAGTAGATGATCATTCGAATAAGAGCCAGCAGTGTGCAGCCGTTGCCAAAAAAGCCAATACAATCCTGGATTGTATAAACAGGCATACTGTTGTGACTTAGGCTTACTCGGTCATTACAATACACAATTAGTCCCAAAACCCCCCTATTTTATTGTAACAACCGAGAATTACGTTCATTCCCAGCTGAGTCCCAATTAGTTGCAGGACAAGTCCTTCGGAAGAAGTCTTTCTGGATAATCACCAACCTTTATCTTCTATGACACCCTGTCAAAGACCTTACTTGGCAAAGCCCCATGAAGTTCAGAAACAAACAAGAGATGCTGACTGGAAACAGAATCAGCAACGTTGCTTTCCTGCAAAAGGCCCAAGTGCTTTTGTTTCTCTTTTAAGCCTTATGGAAGGGGCCAATCTTCTCCTGGCCTTACTCCCGAGTTGTCCCTTTTGCTTTAGCTGCTCTTGCCTTCTGGCAGCCCTGCGCATGCGTGCACTAGGAACAGGCTCCTCCTGTTCCTCTGCCTCTCTACTGTCCAACTCTGGGGGCTCTGGAGTCCGTGCATCACTCCCAGATGGCCCTGGTCCCATCTCTGCCTCCGATGCAAAGCCCTCGTCTGGGCCTTCCCCAGACTCCAGTATTGGCCCATGTTCTTCCCCAGCCTCCTCACTGTCCAACTCCGCTGCCAGCTCCGCAGGCTGCTGGTGGACCACAACACATAGAATCAAGATCACGTGAAGTATTAGTACCACTTTATAAAACCCTATTAGACCACACCTGGAATACTGCAACTAATTTTGGTCATCATACTACAAAAACGATGTTGAAACTTTGGACCAAGTGCTGAGAAGAGCAACTAAGTGCAGAGAAGAGCAACTAAGGGCTGGAAACTAAACCATATGAAGAACGGCTGCAGATTTTGGGATAGAATAGAATAGAATAGAATAGAATAGAATAGAATAGAATAGAATAGAATAGAATAGGAGTTGGAAGGAACCTTGGAGGTCTTCTAGTCCAACCCCCTGCTTAGGCAGGAAACCCTACACCACTTCAGACAAATGGTTATCCAACATCTTCTTAAAAACTTCCAGTGTTGGAGCATTCACAACTTCTGGAGGCAAGTCGTTCCACTGATTAATTGTTCTAACTGTCAGGAAATTTCTTCTAAGTTGCTTCTCTCCTTGATTAGTTTCTACCCATTGCTTCTTGTCCTAATTGTCCTACCCTTTTGTCTAAAGAAAAGAAAAATTAGGGGTGACATGATAGCAGTATTCCAATATTTGAGGGGCTGCTACAAAGAAAAGGGGATCAATTTATTCCCCAAACACCAGAGGGCAGGACAAGAAACAATGGTTGGAATTTAATCAGAGAGAAGCAATCTGGAATTAAGGAGAAACTTCCTAATAGTGAGGACAGTTAACCAGTGGAACAGCTTGCCTTCAGAAATCATGGATGCTCCATCACCGGATGTTTTTAAGAAGACTAAACAGTCACTTATCTGAAATGGTATAGGTTCTCCTGCTTGAGCAGGGGGCTGGACTAGAAGACCTCCAAGGTCCCTTCCAACTCTATTCTATTCAACTATTCAACCACCCCTGATGTAAATATAAGAGCAAAACAAATAAAAGGGGTAACCTAGTAGGAGAACAAGACCGACATGAGAGACATAATTTGTCCTTTTCACTGGTCTGATCTTTCTCAACAGAGCAAATGACAGATAGTCTGCTTGTGGTTTCCTGCAAGGAGTGACCCAAAGTTGCGTTTTAGGAAACGGAAAAAAAAAAGTCACGGCTATTTAAATGAAAGAGTGCTAATTTTAAATAAATGGGAAGTTGCTGATGAAGCAGATCGGTCTGATACTTTTTTTTTTAAAAAAAAAATAAAGATAAAAAAAAATCCCCCGTTTTGTTACTTGTTGTAAATCAGGGCTTTCCAAATTGTAGGAACATTTTCCTTTAAATTGTGAACTCAGGAACCTTCAGTTGCCATCGGTGGCTGATTTTTTTTTTAATTGATTCTTCTTCTATCTTCAAGAGAGTACCTTTTGTTTTTTAAATGCAGATGGACTGCTGAATCTAGCCCTGATATGTTTGTCCTCCTATGTTGTGCCATTTGCTTATGAAGTGGTTGTTTTGTTTCCCCAATTGTACTGCATATACCATGTCCATTGTACCAAGTACTTCAAGCGGTCTAAATGAACTGTTGTAAGTTGGGGACTACATGTAATGCAAGGATCTGAATCTGAAAATGTGACACCCTTCTCTTAGACCAATACATGAAACTACTGCTACTTAATTATTCAAATGGGGAAATAATGAAGTTTTGTTTCATTTTCTTAATCACGAAGGCAGCTCTTGTTTCTTGAAAGAGATTGTTTGGCTCTCTTTCTACATTGGAGTCTGTCGGTTCATTTGCATGATTTGGTTTCTCTTTGTTAATGGCTGCAGCGGTAAGATTGGGTGTTTTTTAAACCAGCCTAAAAATAGAAAGGCTCTTTAAAAAAAATACAATCAAGATGGTGTGAGAATTCTTTAATGGGATTTCCCAGGGTTTCATGGGACTCTCAGGGATTTTTGCCTGATGGTTAGAACTTTGTTTTTGGAAACAAATGAAAATCCCTTCCCCTTCCCCTTCCCCTTCCCCTTCCCCTTCTCTTCCCTTCCCCTTTCCCTTCCCTTCCACTCCACTCCACTCCACTCCACTTCACTCCATTCCATTAAAATCCCTTTGTTTAATGGTTGCTTATTGTCTCTGGATCCAACAGAACCAATTGCCCGGGCACTTGATCACTGCTGTGATACTTGGCAAAACAATGTTTCTTTCCTTTTTTTCCCTTTCAAACATGCCAACAAGATTACATGGTGGGATCCCACCAGTCTAGAAGGTAGGGCTAATAAAGCATTTCCAGAAACTGCCCATGGATCGCAGTGTCAGATGTGATTAGAGCCAAGCTCAAGGCAGCAACAGAAGCTTTGGGGCTTCAGGTGTCAAACCTGTGGAACTGCGTTCAGTTCAGTTTAGGGAATAAAAATAATGCGGCTTTAGAGAAGCTCCCTACACAATCTGATCCTCTGCTCAGCTTCAAGCATGAGTCCCTCAATGGAGTTGCTGAGTTCACAAATTTCACACAGCAGTTGTCAATGATTGGCTTCCATGAAACAGAAAGGCAAGTTGAGATAAAGAAAGGGACATGATGACGTGGCTCACCACTTCCTCTTTGCCTCCTCCAGTACTTGGAGGAAACAGAGGAATTGGCTATAGAAGGATGCCAAGTGACACAGGAACTTGACTTCACTCACAGAAGTGGGACGGCAGGTTTGCTGTTCAAACAATAACCCACAAAAAACAAAAAACCTTGATCAGTTTGCTTTGCTTGGAACCTTGTTGAAGTAAAGCATGTCCTCCAAGATCTGGACAGGCCATCCGGGACATTCCAGCTTCTGCTGTTTCTGGGCCACCTGTTGACTTAGTACTGCATTGCTTTGGGCTAAACCTTCATTTTCCTTGTTTGAGAGTCCACCAGATTTCTTTCCTTTGGTTTTGCCTTGATATTTGGCCTACAACCAAAAGCAATTTATAGAAAGAGCTACCTTGTGGTTGTTGTGAAGTCATCATTGATTGGGCTTCCTTCCTTCTTTCCTTCCTTCCTTCCCTCCTTCCTTCCATCCACCTTTCCCTTTCTTTCTTTCTTTCTTTCTTTCTTTCTTTCTTTCTTTCTTTCTTTCTTTCTTTCCTCCTTTCCTTCCTTCCTCCCTCCCTCCCTCCCTCCCTCCCTTCTTTCCTTCCATTCATCCATCCAACCAACCATCCATCCAGAGCCTCAACGAAGGTTATTTGGAGATATTACAGATGGAAAATTGACAACGCACATGGTTTAGGCAAAAATAAACATTTTCCCCAAAGATATCCTTAGTACAAATAAACTTGAAGAACTGGTAGATGCATTGCTTGTTAGGTGGTGAAATAAATAAGAGATACCTTCTTTGGGAGGTTAGCCAGTATCTAGTAGGTTGAAGAAGTCTGGATCTAGAAAAGGGCAAAATTTGAGTCAAGGTTTGTGGGATGTGGGCATTTTAGCACCTCCCTAAATTAAATGCAGTTTTGCCTGGTATCACAGATTGCAGCAGAGATCAGATACACAAGCTCAGTTTTAAAGTGTTTGGGACAGTATGTATCCATGTGTCCTTCGAATCACATGTTTTTCTGTACAAAATTCAAATTGCAGAACAGCAATACCACTTTGTTTCCGTTATATACTTATTCCCACTCTCTTACCTTGGGTGCTGAAATGCAGACCGAGTGAGTCAGCCAGCGAATATTTACATCTCGAGAAAGTGGTTTCCCTAGTAACTGTAACCATGGGAAGTGCTTTACGAAGTTATCTTCTCTCTGTATGCTGACTTTCTCATGTGACATTTGCAGAAATGCAGCGGCAAGCTGATTTGCCAGAACCGCACATTCTTTGGGGGCGAGATTTTGCACATTTGGCACCCGCTGCTTATGCGTTATCACTTCCCCGAAACGATGTATTTTTTACAGTAGTTTATGGGACTTTTCCTACTTTAACGGGACTAGCCTTCCGTTGGATGGCTGGGTCCAAGTCCTGAGTTCTTCTTTTGCAGTTAGTGTTGTGATTGTAATGGAATTCGAGGTGACCTACATATCATGTGTGACAGGAAAGGGTGAAGGAGAGTCCAAGAAGGGAAGATAAAGTAGGGGATTAAAGAACATGGAATAGGAACAGATCTTCTCTCACACAAAAGTATTAAACAGTAGACAAACTTCTGATGTCCTTCAGACGTTTTGGAATACAACTCTCATAATTTTCAGGCAAAATAACCAATGATCAGGAATTATGAAATTGTAATCTTGAGGGGCACCACTATTG